AACAGTAACTTCTCCCTGCTCAGTACACTCCCTCTTGTCCTGTCCCACCAAACCCTCGCTCTGCGTGACCACTCCCTTTTGGCTCCAGATTGAAGCCGGCCGCAGGATATATGAGGCCCACTTTGACGTCCATGACTGTAGACTTACAGCATTATGCTTGCACAGTTTCATCCAATTCCATCGAATTGTTAATAAGTTAGGTCAATTTATCCATCTCGTCCTTAAGTTTTGCACACCAGTGTAGTTCGACCCGCTGGTACACAGCTTGACTCGCTGATGCAATGCTTGCATCCAGCGATTCGCTAGCGAATTGCTGCATTCCCCAGGTCTGACATCGGCCTTACTGATTTCCTACGTTTCGGGGCGCCCTCACCCTGAATGCAAAAATTGTAGTTGAAACTTATGAAATGCAGCAAATATACGGAAGTTTTTGCGGCAGGGGAGCTACCCCACGGATGGCCGTATGTTCCACGAGAGCGCTGGAACCGTGTCACAGGTGCTTTCGTACTATAAGCGCTACTAGGCATGTGACTGTGTTCGTGGTTCCAATACTATTCAATCTTTTTGAGAAACATTTCTTGTTTTCACATAATTGTTTAGGCCTTGTTCGGATGACTGCTCGGTTACGGATGAAACGGCTCGGTCTGGGCGAACTTACCAAAATCCCAGCAGTTTCAGAGGCTGCAGCTCTTGAACAGGTTGGAATTGAAATCATTTGAAAATTACGTAGTATTTATAACTTGTGAGTTATCAGCTTGCTTTCCCTTTCGTTTCATTTTCAACATTTTGAATCTAATGTGAATTTCATCGGAGCATTTTCTCAATAATAAGGCTGTCTCAGTAGTCACTCATAGTTTCCATATCATTTCTTATCTCTTGAAGTGCGTTCTATTCTTCACTTTTACTATTCCATTGCAGGCATCTGACTTTGTGCAACAACTTGTTCTGTTCACATATTCCTTAGGCGTCTTTTGGGGCTACTATATTTATACAAAAGTTAGTACTCCAGAAACGCTCAAAGTGTACGAGTTTGAAGAATTCAGGGAAGAAAGTGAAAAAGTGAGTTTTCGTACAGGTGTTTTAGAAGCAGTAGACTTTTCATTGAACGCCGTCTTTTAAGACTTCATGATCAGCGTTGTTATTGTTTTCAGGTTATAGGAGATTTGCAACTAAGGGTTGAGCAACTCGAAGCCGCTCTTAAAAATCGTGGTATAAAGGTTTGTTTTTCGCTATAACTTGCGTTCCATAATAACAAGAGCCTCTTTAGATTCCCTGTTATCAGTCCTCCAGCAGTTGACAACAAGGATACTCACTCTACTAGTCAAACTAATAAAGAAGAAACAACACAAGAAAACCAGCCAAGTCAACTTCCCGAAACCCCGTTTCCCACGAGTGTCGTCATTACCCGTGGACACCGCCTCCAATGTATTGCTCAAAGGTGAGTACTGTTGATTTGAATATTTGAGAAACATTGAACAACAACATAAGGATAGTAAGGGGTAGAAGTTGGTTAGCGTATTCTCTACTCGCAATTACCGCGTACTATTTTTATCGAAAATTCTGTCAATTTCGATGTTTTCTCCGATGACCGTTCTACTTTTTAACAACGTTCCAAGACAAAAATTTGTAGAGTACGGCTAAGTTCATCATCCGTTGGATTGATATTTGCTAGATTGCCTCTTGTGCAATAAATCGCTTCTTCCTTTATGTACAGTATTTTGGAGGTGGGTGATTGGATAAAAGAATACAACTCTTTAGATTAGGTCAAAAGTTATACTACCACCGGTCGTTAAGTAAGTCTCTCTTCCCTTTCATTCCCAGAATCAGCCTTTTTCATCTTATCGAGTTTCCACATCATTGTGGTCTAACTTCGCTATTTTTTTTAATTTCTCGTCTTTCTTTTTTTTTCTTTACAAGATTTTTGTCATAGCATTCCTTGCTGATTCTTTCCCTGATCTCGTTGACAGCTTCGATGTATTAAATTTATGTGGTCTTTTGCAAATTAGGCTTTTTTCGCGATATGAATCAGTGGTCCAAAGTCGCCTTTTACATGCTTCATGAGAACGAATTTCGATAATTTTTCATAGGTGCCATTTTTGATTAAGTAGACACTGTGTTTTCCAACAAACAACTTTCTCGCAAATTTATTCCCGGGAAAAACGTCGATTCTGTCGCCCGTTAATATGGTGGTTGTCTTCACCTCGGTAATCCGAATTTATAATTGGTCACTTCTTGACGGAGTGCGTTGGGGTCATTTTCAAAATTTTGCACATAATAATTGATACGATTATCATTTTCTATGGCGAACACATACTAGTGATAAGTTGGTGTATTTGTTTTCAAAAATCCAGAAGACTTATTCGAACACATTCACAGTGAAATGTAGACTCCTAGGTGGCGAGGAGTTCCTTGTTGTGCGATCCGGAACATCTGTCGGCATTGAACCGGTGGCGCTGCATCGAAGTAGGGGTGTCGAGCTCGTGTTTCGTGAGAAACCGTCCTTCTCGAAATCGCATCCAAGCGGAATTGTAGGATTAGCAGAAAATTGTGTAACGTTTCTCTTAGGGGGTCGATCAGAGTAAGGTTACATAAGTAGGGATTCTTTGAAAGGATTCATAGAGTAATTCGTTCGATTCTATCCATTTGACACGTTTCTATTTTGCATGGTTGTCCATGCTGTGGGCAACCAATTTCACTGCCATTCTTTTAGCAATGCCTTGTTGGTTTTTTTGGATCCATCACCTCGGTGTTATTTATAGAGCCGGCGGGTTTCTAGTCAGTTTTTACTTGCGCTGCTGGTCAAACGCTTCACTTTCTGTTGTTATACTTCTGGCCAAATGGAGTGCTGCTGTCAGGAGACGTCCGCTGAAAGGTTAGTTGGCATGATGTAACATAGAAATCTACCTTTTCTGCAAGACGTCTCCGGGTGGCAAGCCTCCATATGCCTATCTAGAGATTAGAGGATAGGATAGAGTAGCTAATTGTTAGTGATTCCGTGTTAGTTACAAAGGTTGTGATTTCAGCGACTGTTGAAGTAATAAGTAATTGTTGCATATTTTTGCTGGTGCTCTTATTTTATACGGAATAATTGAGATTTCTCATGCCTCGGTTCCATAGTCTTGTTGTCGCTATGTGACGCTATGTGACTGTTATCGCTTCCATAACGCTTTTTTGTTTAGGTGAGTCTCGCAAGTCCCTGTAGGAACCGAGGTATGGTCACGACGTAGAAGATGTCATTTCTGAATGTTGTACATTATACTTATTAGATAGGTGATAAAGCTTCGAAAATGTTAATGTTTTGCTGTGCATTTATCTCACATACTTTGAAGTTACTTCACATTTCTGATTGTATATGTAGAATAGGCTGTCGTAGGAACCCCAAATAGTACCTCATGTGTAGATAGCCTTGTAATAAATTTTCATTTTTGAATCAAAAGAAATGATGAACACAATGTGCATGGCATGACACAATCAGTGCCATTGTAAAAACTTGTGTGTCGTGATTCAAAATTTCTTTACCGCGATGAAAAGCCTCAAACTTCAGGAAGATGGTACGTACTGTAACATGGGAGATGAAAAGATCAAATGACGGGTTTTGATCAAACATCTGATGGAACTGTCAAGACAGGTCGTCATTATACGAAGTTATACGACCAGGAAGGTCTTTCAGGGCGTGCCAAGCTTTTTGAAAACGGTCTTTGCATGATATAGGGGCACATGCGGGAACCACAGAACCATGGTTAATTTTTCCTGAACGGCCCTCTGAATACCAGAAAAGGGGTCCTAGTTCGATTCCTCGTGGTGACAAATTTTTGCATTTCGAGTTGACGTTTCCAAAATTCGCGCAAAATGGAGTTAGCATCAACCATGAATGGTATATTTACAATTAGCACCGTCAGTCACCCTGCAGATAGACTTTCATTGAAAATGGTTAAAACGCATGCTGCACACAAAGTGCGTGAGTCGTACTGTTTGGGCACAGCTTTTTCACCACTTCAAGCAAAACTTATTTATATGGATTATCGACGGTCCTGTACGAATGTAGCATTCATCGTTGATGCTAACTCCATTTTGCGCGAATTTGATTTGAAAATGCACAAATTGTACCAACATCGGGCGGGACCCCTTTTTGGTATTGAAAGGGCCGTTTAAGAAAAACTACCCGTGGCTCTGCGGTTCCCGCATGTGCCCCTACATAATGCAAAAGACCGTTTTGAAAAGCTTGACACTCCCTGGGAGACCTTCCTGGTGAGATGGGGCTCCTAAAATAAAGCTTTTCGAAGAATGTCCAAACAAGTCGACAACTGTGGGTGCCGCCGGTTCTTTTCCCTGCCCTTGTGCAGCTCCATCTCGACCTTCCTGTAAATGTTGCACAGTAGACCTCTTCTATATCATCTGCCACTTTTCCAGCCATCCGGAAAAACTTTCAAAGAGATCAAATGTCAAACCCAACATGATGATGTAACGACCTTCTCCTAATTGCTTGCCTACAGATGCAGCACTTCCAACATCAAATATTGCATACTCTCAGATGACAGTTCTTTCAGATGCACCGTTAAGCCCCAACCTCGCGCCCCAATGCCAACCTACTCGATTCTAGCACGCTCCATCAGGCGAAAAAATTTGGGTGTCCCCCAAGAGGCCCATCGCGCGGCGAAGGAAGAGACGCAGATGCGGCAAAGGACGAGTCGCAGCGCGTGCTGTGCGATATGAGACGTAGTATGGTACACTCTATTTAACCTGACGCCTAACCGCTACAGTATGCGCTGCGACTCGTCCTTTGCCGCGTCTGCGTCTCTTCCTTCGCCGCGCGATGGGCCTCTTGGGGGACACCCAAAAATTTCGCTGCCAAAAGGGCGAAGATAGGTCGATCAAAAACGAGTCTCCGGATTTTTTTCAGAATAAGAATTCCATGGATTATATCTCATCATGCATGGGCAATATTTCGGAGATGACAGACGTGTCCATTTGATGAGCAAGCGCTACAGATGAATATTAAAAAAATTTAATCCTGAAAACTAGCCAAAGTATGTATGGTTTTGTTGAAGCCTCTCCAAGAGTTCAGCACTTTTTATTATTAGGCTTACGTTTCGGCGGCCTTCGCCTTTGTAAGAGCCTGAAAAGTCGAAATGCAATTGAGACCGATCCTTTCTCTTCTTGTCGTTCTTGGACTATAGCGAAAATGATTCTGTAATTATGGGGCAACCTACTATAGTAATAACGTATTTTCGGTCAAGCGCCGAAGAAGAAGGTAGTAGCAGGCGATGGAAGACTTACATGTATGGTTGAGCTTCTTGAACAAATTTCAGTGTCCAGTGTTGTTCTAAGGTTTTTGTGAACACCCGGCAAATCTATTTCTGTTAGTGAGAGAAAAGTGAAGACGAGAAGGAAGGAGGGCAGCCATGCGTCGGCCGATTAGTCGCTGATTTCGTTTTCTATTCGGCGCAAAACGATATGCTGCGACTCGCAGCTTCACACGGATTCGAGGCAGCCGACAAATGAGAGTCTCGCCGATAGCCACTGATTGCGTCATGCACTACTAAATATTATAGATTTCATATACATATGGTGACAGAATCTGTAATGAGGGATTTTATTTGGAGAAATATAGCTCCTTGGATAATTAGGCTTATTCAAGAAATAAGATTTAGTTTTTCTGCCAGACATTTTGTTGTCACTAGTTAAAAAGATTATTCGGAAAAATTACGATAAACCGACAAAATTTGGTGTGTCGGGTAGTCGGAGGTGTGTATGGCTGCGTGTCTGTCGTCCGGACCAACGCTAACAGAAATCGGGGAGTTGGAGGATGTACACTGTGGGATGTTGATGTGCAGATTATATGATAACACGCGCGAGCGGCGTTAACTGCGTGTATAATGTATAGGGCATCAATTTTTGCTACTCCAAAGTTGCTGTGCATTTTTTGGAAATGCTGCTATCACCATTAGATTCCTCGTCATGGAAAACCCTCACAGTGTTTTTCTGACAAAGTTCCTCCCTCAAGTAACCCAATTAACTTTTTCTGAACGAATTTTCACCGTTTCGTGAATATCGGGCTACTCATAAAAAGTTCCCATTTCTCGTGATCAGTGAAGGAAATAAGGGAAGCGGGGATATATCTGAGCTCAGTCGACATCGAGTTTACCGTACCTCGTGTTACTCGCCTCTCTTCCCAGTAACAAGCTCAAGCCAGAGCACTTACTGAAGTGGGATGGCAAAGGAGCAAAATTTCCTCCCAAGCCGGCCGGCTCCTACGACCTAAGCAACTAAGTGCGAAATCCTGGTCAGTGCGGGGAGAAGAGTAGCTTAGGTAAATGAAGACCGCGTTTCCTTCAAGATTTAGGAGGAACTGGGCGTTTTCTCTCGAATTGTGTAAGGGGTCCGAACAAAGTTCGTGCTGAAATACGGCCTTCCGTGAGCAAAACCACCGTGTGGTGTGTACGTCAGCGAAGCAATACATCTTCAGCGGATTGATGAAGAGCGTTCCAAGATTATTTGAGCGCTTCAAGATCGCACGTCTCCATTTCAGCGTGGAAAAGGGCGCAACTTTATGAACGAAGGTTTGGCTGTTCAGACCCTTCGCGATCTTGGACTCTAGCTCCTTGTTTCGTGCTACAGGTGATCTGAGATCGACGTGAAAAAGTTTATTCTAGGTGGATCTGATAGAAAAAAAGCGTACGGGAGGGTTCCGTGGAAATCGTAGATGGTTTTGATGTAAGGTAATTTTGGCGAAGAATCCCTTATGGATTGAGGCTCTTTTGAACGACTGAGCGGCTAGAGCTCGTGTTTGTTTCCTTTCAAGAGGATTCCATAGGGTATCGTGAAGTTCTTCTGAAGCGACTGTTACCATCTTTCCGACAACAGCTCCCTCGAACCTTGATTTTTACGCACGATAACGCGGCTGTCCATGCCGGTCCTTCCACGCCAGATGGAATTGTGGGAAAAAATATGGCAGTTACCTGGTGGCCAACATGTTAGCTGAATCAGATTCCAATAGAGATTCAATAGAGAATCATAAGGCCTTAATTGCTATAAAGTTCCACAGCAGAGAAAAGCAAAATGGAACAACCGAAGAGCTGAAAACGTCGATCATCAGCGCACAGACAAATTTCGATCCTACTGTAATAGCTAATTTGATTACCAGCATTCCAAAACGTATTATTGTGTTCCTTATGACTATGGGAGGACCATCCCATTGTTGAAAATTTGTGACGTTTTTTTGCTATAATAAAATCTCTCGAAAAGTGATCTGTAGTCATATTCGCGAAACGGTGAAAATACGCTCTAAAAAAGATATTTTAATTATTCTTAATCAAGATTTCTCCAAAAATCGAGTATCAAGGTTTTTCGTTTATGGGGAAACTATTGGTAATAGCGGCATTTCCCAAAAATGCGCAGCAACTTTGGAATAGCAAAAATTTAGGGTGGACCTATATTTATGAAACGCAGTGTATAAACACCGATAGCACGACTCAGTGCATTCTACATGGTGCTGCATGTGGCAGTTGAAGGGGGGGTGGGGAAAGGGAGGGAGGGCAGAAGTGGTAGGGGAGAAGCAGAAAAGGAGAAATAGGGAGGAAGAAAGGGAGAGGGAGAAAGGGTGAGGAGATCAGTGCTGCGTGGCCAGCTGGAGGAGCAAAGAGCGGATGAGGTTAGATGCGAAGGAGTTGGGAGATTTGGGTTCGGAGGTGGAAAACGAAACCGTTTTGTTCAGTCTGTTTCGAAAAGGGGAACCATTCTGTTCGAAAATATAAGTTAAAGCAAGCATTTGAGGGACAGTAATTTGAAGGTTTGGACGCGTAGGAGCCTGCTGTAGGTTGTGCCGTGTACTAACGAGGGAAGGCATTGAACTCCCCGTGGAACTTTGAGCCGAGACCTAGACATATCGATAGAGCCTGGGACAACGGTTAGAACTGCGGAACCCAAAATTGCAAACGATTCTGCCAAGGAAGTTACGAGCAGTCGAAGTTGGCTGCAAATGAGTGCTTTTGGATGAGGCTCGCTAGTGTAAGAGAAACTGTGCTGCCGTGGTGTAGTGGTAAGGCTCTCGCTCATCATCATGCAGGTCCATCCTCGGAGCGCAATCTCTGCTTCCTAGATCCAACGTTCGCCAGTTAAGTTATTTTTGCATTCAAAGCTCTTTAAAAATAATATGCTGCAAGAAAAACCGAAGTTCGAGTTTC